GGGCCTTTGACTTTAACCTTCTGCAACAGGTTGTTAGCTGACAATGACCCTTTCCTCTCTCAGGATGTATCTTCAAAAGGCTGGATTTTTTAATTACTGGAGATGGGAGTTTGCATTAACCTCTTTTTAGGAATACCCTAGAAAATCCACTACACAGCAGGGCTTAACTCAAAATAAGATACGAAAATTGAGTTATGTTAATTGCTTTGACTTTAACCTTCTGCAACAGGTTGTTAGCTGACAATGACCCTTTCCTCTCTCAGGATGTATCTTCAAAAGGCTGGATTTTTTAATTACTGGAGATGGGAGTTTGCATTAACCTCTTTTTAGGAATACCCTAGAAAATCCACTACACAGCAGGGCTTAACTCAAAATAAGATACGAAAATTGAGTTATGTTAATTGCGTAGCTTATTTCAAAATTGGGAGTGTCTACACAGCACTTACTTTGAAATAGATCACTCTTCCTCCAACTTCCATTACTCCTCGTACAATGAGGGTTACCAGAGTCGGAGTAAGAAATCCTCCAGCTCAACAGTTTTTTGACGTTATTTCAAAATAACTGCTTGCTGTGTAGACGCGGACTAAGTTATTTTGAAATAAGGCTAGTTATTTTGAAATAATGTTGCTGTGTAGATATACCCTAAATTCTTCTTATCGCTAAAGTCTGGCACATTTTAGATATAATTTTTTGAACTCCCAAGTCGAATATCTGTTACATCTCCTCCCAGGGAAGTTGTATACAATCTCAGCTCATAATAATACACATATTTAATACAGTGAGGTCTTCCAAGAATATTGCAGGAAATTGAGGTATCTGTCACTCTTTAATTCAATAGTCTTAGAAACTCTGAGCCTGTCGGGAGGTGCTAGATAAGTGCAAAGTAATATATATTTTCTTTCATGCTGATGTGTAATGTGCAAAGTGTTTTTATTTGCATGCATAGAGAAACAGTGAAAAAATACTGTCATCTGGCAGTAGAATAGCTAGTGGAGGTGTGGGGGAGGAGGAGGAGGCTACTAGAAATAGACCCCAAACTTTATCATGTAAGTATCCCTTATCTTTCTTGCAAGAGATGACCTACAGTTTTTTCCTTCCTCACGTACATGAAAACTTTTCTGAATGTGGCAAGAAATGAGGTTATTTAGTAAAACCCTCGCCCCCATCCTTTTAAAAAAAATCTCTGGGTGCTGTGCTTCACTACATAAGAGAAGGGATGAGCAAGATATGCCATCATACGCTTGCAGAAGCACAACAGGCTTCTCTATACGAAGCAAGAAGGATAAAGATCTTGCTAATATAGACCATGCTCCCAGTTTAAGAGTCTTTGTATATCTTGTACTGCTTGTCCACACTTTTTTTTCTCATTATGACCAAACTATTGCCAGTGAAAACTTGGAGCAGTTAGTTCATAAGTTACTGTATATCAAATCTGAAAGCAGCATGGATTTCCTTTGAATTTTTTTAAAGTTCTGGTAGAAAAATGAAACAGGATGGAATCTAGTAAAATTATTGGGTGTCTCAAAATACATTAATAGGTAACTGACTCCTAAGGTTGTTTTTTCTCCTTTCATTCTGTTTATATGCAGCACAATGGAACTGCTGAAACATTATAGGTTTCAATTAGCTTGTTTTTATTGGAAATGCTTTAATTTCAACATTTGGTTTAATGACCTCATTCCATCCTGACTTTCCAGGGCAGGGGGAATCCTTGCATAGACTCTAGTAATGTTCACCAAGCGTCTGTGGTTGAGTTTCTGTCTACATTCCCGTTAGATGCTCCATTTGTCCAAAGTTTTATAATTTGTTTGTTAAAATATATGGGAGGCATGGCTGGCTTAGGTTGAAGCCTGGAGGAGAATGCTTAATAGTGTCATGCAATGGCTCTCTTATATACAGGAGATCTGTGCGTTTGAATCCCTGTACCTTCAAAAGGAAAATAGCCGATTATAGTCTGCAACATTATGGAACGTGGATTAGGCTATACATGTTGGCTCTGTCTACACTGCACCCCTTTTCTGGAAAAGGGATGCAGATTAGACGCTTTGGAATAGGCAAATCCACGGGGGATTTAAATATCCCCCGCGGCATTTGCATTAACAGGGCTGCCGCTTTTTTCCGGCTGGGGGATAAGCCGGAGAAAAGCGCCAGTCTAGATGTGATTCTCCGGAAAATAAACCCTTTTCCGGAGGATCTCTTGAAAGTAGGAATAAAAGATCCTCCGGAAAAGGGTTTATTTTCCGGAGAATCACGTCTAGACTGGCGCTTTTCTCCGGCTTATCCCCCAGCCGGAAAAAAGCGGCAGCCCTGTTAATGCAAATGCCGCGGGGGATATTTAAATCCCCCGTGGATTTGCCTATTCCAAAGCGTCTAATCTGCATCCCTTTTCCGGGAAAGGGGTGCAGTGTAGACATAGCCGTTATGTATAACCTTTTAGCCATTATTAAAGATAGATGGGAAGGAGAACTGTCTATGATAGTGTTTCTCAACCAGTGGTACAAGTACCCTTTGGGGTATTCGAGAGGAGTATGGGGAGTATATCAACACAACTGAAATTTGGAAAAAATTGAATTTTTGTTTTAAGTTTTACAGCTTTTTATTATTTTTGTACTTTTTACACCCAAAAATTTCATCGACCACCAGACTATGATTAAGTTGTTTAAACAAATGTGTTGCAATGGTAGAAAACATTGTGTGTGTCTGAAAACTGTAGGTACTGGGGGTTCTTATAATTTTTTTAAAGGGGTACTTTATTAAAAAAGGTTGAGAAACACTGGTCTATGATAACATCCAATATTCTGTCTTACTAGTAAGATTTTTTTTATGGTACCTAACACCATTAACATTAAAGGAATGAAGGCTTCTGTGATCCAGTACTGCCAACCCCAAATTTTCAAAAATCACGAATTAGGGTCATCAAAATTCATGAGATTGGCTTTAAATCATGGGATTTTATAAAAATAATAGATCTGGAGTTCTTTTTATTTCCCTTCTACTTTTGCCTTTTTATTTGCCTTTAGGGTGAGCGGGGGTCACATTTTGAAGATTTTTTTTTTCATAGCCAGAAGGGCTAGAAGCTGACATTTTCTTCAGGAATGAACCTCAAATCATCACATATCCTCTTGACTGCAGGGGCTTTAAGGAAAAAATAATTATCATGAGACACGTGACAAAATCATGAGAGTTGACAACATTGGATTTCTGTATATTATACGGCTTGGAATTATACCTATAAACATATATTTGCTCTCTAAAATGTCTTGTTTTTGTTGTTTTAAGGCAAACACTAAATATGGGCTTTGGGGTGGGTTTTTTTTTTAGAGTTTTTTGGCTGTTTACTAAATAGAACCATGAAACATAGCTTCGTGACCTTTGTTTCTGACCTGATCTTAAGCTCTTTCTTAATCTTTAACAACTGAGTGTTTCATTCTCTGGATTCCATTTGGTTTCACTGACCTAGATTTTGCCAGCTGGGATTGATTGCTGGGATGAGCTAAGTCTATTAAAGCCTTAAATTCTCTCCTTTCCTGAAGGGTAAATCATTTCTTTCTTAACTCCTTGTTTACAGGTGACTTCATTATTAATCTTACTTCCCTGGGAGGTGACCCAACTTTTGATCTCAAATAAAAATAAATAAATAAAAGTGTAAATTGAATTCTCTTCGGCAGCAGACGAGCTATGACAAACTGTGCTCCAAGAGACCTGAGGCTTTGGGGGAAAATTTTCAGGTTACGGGTGTTAATGTAAGCCAGTGGTGTTGCTGAGAGTTTAGAAATCTTTGCAGAGAAATCAATGGGTGCTGTTTCATGTCTACTGTCTATCCTTGATGCCTGAAGTACTCATGTGACTCTTGAAGATGCTCTGTGGGTAGGCTTGGTTGGAGAATGATTCCCGCTGTACCTCCATTTTTGGAGCTATAAGAAAAAAAACCCTCCACCTCTGAGGAAACTGGGGAAAATTCACTGGCTAGCATATATAGAAAAAATACATTTTTTAAAATTTCTTGACTCAAAACTTTAAACACATGCAAGAAGTCATTCTCAAAGGTAAAATAAAACTTTTAACTCTTGAATGGTTAATTTTCTCTGCAAATAAAGAGGCAGTTTCTGCTGGATGCAGATTAACAATCTGCAGGTGGTTGGAATTTCTTACTGGGGTGGAGGTGAAGAAAAGAAAAGTGAAAATTCACTATGGATTGAACACTTTAATATTTTAAATATACTATTTGTTACATCTGAATATTCATCTGCAGAGCCTCTAACATTTATATAACCAAGGCCATCTGCAAGAGAAGGAGGGTAATATGAACTTTATGGATAGGGTGATGGGGTGATGACAAACAGTATGAAGGAAGGGCACAGAGAAATACTAAGGCTTGGTCTAAACTACAGAGTTAGGTTGGCATAAGGCAGTTTAAATTGTCCTAACTCTGTAAGGGCTCGTCTACACTGGCCCCTTTTCCGGAAGGGGCATGTAAATTTCACCAGTCGTCGTAGGGAAATCCGCGGGGGATTTAAATATCCCCCGCGGCATTTAAATAAAAATGTCCGCCGCTTTTTTCCGGCTTTTAAAAAAGCCGGAAAAGAGCGTCTAGACTGGCCCCGATCCTCCGGAAAAAGCGCCCTTTTCCGGAGGCTCTTATTCCTACTTGGAGGATCGGGGCCAGTGTAGATGCTCTTTTCCGGCTTTTTTAAAAGCCGGAAAAAAGCGGCGGACATTTTTATTTAAATGCCGCGGGGGATATTTAAATCCCCCGCGGATTTCCCTACGACGACAGGTGAAATTTACATGCCCCTTCTGGAAAAGGGGCCAGTGTAGACGTAGCCTAAGTGTCTAGACTATAATATTGCTCTCAGCAATGTAAATTGCCCAGTACAGCAACTTAATTCCCCCTCCCTGAGAGGCACAGTGCTGAGGTGGATGAGGTAGTGTGCTGCAGTGTCTGTGTAGACACTGTTATTTACATCACTTGTTGGCTCTCAGCTCCATGTGTGACTGACGGTTGGAGCTCTCCCTCCCTGGGGCTGACAACCCGAGCGGGAAGAGGGCTCCAGCTGTGAGCTCCAGGGCAGCAGGACTGACACCACGGGCTCTGAGCAGTAATGCCTCCACTCAGTTAAGTGGAAGTGCTCCTGGTTAAGCCACACAGTGCTGATAATAAGCATAGTGTGGATATGAAATACCATTTGAAGCTACTGTGGTGGCAGAACTTTGACTTAATTTTGTAATGTAGCCATGAATTTAGACCTCACATTGTTCTAGTTGGCCAAGAGCTGTGAGGCTGTAGCAAGATTTAGAGATGAGGGTGGTGGTGATCTCCCTGTGAGTATTCCATTAGAATTTGTTCCTTTCAACATTAAAAGAAAATGATATACTCTGATTATCATAGCTTTTGCCAGAATTTATGGAAGGACTTTATACACAATATTCATGGATTCTGCTTAGAAATTTCGATCACTAAGAGAGAATCCCAGCATGTAACTTGGAAGGCACAACATCTCTTGCATGCAAAAACACTTATAAAGGAGCTTAGACCATTACCGTTATGCATACCTCTTCTTGTTACAAATTGCAAGGTAGCCAGAAGATTAGAAATATTGTCTGTACATACTGTGCATAGAAATCACATTGGGGATAAAAAACCTACACCTCAGTCTTACATCATGTTCTTGGGAAATCTCACATAATTTATAAAACCTATTGAAGACGGGGTTTTTTTTTGTTTGTTTTTGTATTTTGCTTCACCATCCAACCTTGCCATTATTCCACACATTATTTCTTGTGAGGAAGATCCTTTATATTCAGTTTCATTTGTTTTTCCTTGTGTTTTCCTGGCTGTCCCTCTTGTCTGAGGCAGGAGAGCCTACAGCTTCCATGGGGTCTTGGGCAAAGTGTGGGTATGTGGATTCTGGCTCCTGGAAAGGGCAAGGCCTCAAGCAGAAGGGACAGGTTTGGGGGCAGCCAGTCTTCAGTGCCCCCTTCTCCCCTCCCTTGCTATCAGAGCTGCATGGAACATACCACGCTGGCAGCAATTTAAAGGGCTCAGGGCTCTGGGTGGCACTGCAGCTGCAGTGGCTGGAAGCCCCAGATCCTTTAGAATCACCAGGACCCAGGGCAACTACTCCTGTTGGGTCCCCTCCCTCCAGCAGGCCTGGTCTGAGGCAGTGTCTGTGTTGGTTCAGTAATTTTGATTCCTGGATTGACTTAATTCTCTTTTTACATTGTTATAGTAGAATGAGCACAGATTTATAGTTTAACACTAATTCTAATCTCAGTTAACTCTCTGGTGTCTTACATGCCATCTTCCTCTGTAAAAATGTTTCGTTTAGATTAATATACAAGTTAGTACTTTTCCACCTCACTCCCGTGTGCATGGAACACTGGGTAGAAACACAGCCGAATGCCATACTTTGAAACTGCCTGGTAGACTTAAATGAAAGTTAACTTGCTAGAGCTTGAAGACACTTTCTTGGGCAATAATATTTTAAACTTAGCTTCTAGATCGTTAAGGCAGGACCTTTGCTTTGGGTGATGAAACTGGCTAGAATAGAAGACATTTTCTTAAGATCCATTCTGTTTAGAGATCCCACATTTCTGCCTGATGTATTTTCACTGGGCCACTTTTTGTCTTTTTTTATCTAAAAAGAGTCTTTCAGAAATTAAATCTTCACTTTACATATATTTTTGGATGAGTTCTGACAGTTTTTAGACACACTCACAGAGTAGGGTCTCTGTAATTTTGAGGATTTAAACGTTTAACTGCGTTTCTAGTTCTATTGTCTTTTCAATGTAATTTTTTTTTCTCTCCTCACATTTGAGTCAGACTGTTAATAGTTGCTAATTACTACCCCTATTCTTTAAGAAACGAGAGGGAAAGAATGTCTGTGGCCAGAAAGCTTTTAAAGATGTATGCAGTGAGATAACACTCATAAAATTCACAGCCCATCCTGTGCAGCATAATGATGAGAAGAAGGCTAAGCCCTCTCTGTCAACCTTTTAGCTAAAAATATATAAAAAAATGGTAAGGCTGTATTTATAACCAACATGCTATCATTTTAGCAGATAGAGATGAATGTCACCATTTCCATAAATCTTGGCTTTAGAAAATTAAAATACTGTGGGGACCACAGAGGACTGAAGCCAATGACTATTTTCAGTGTGTGCCACTGCAGAAGACAAACTGTCAAGGGCATTCAGCTTAATTGCTAGAGGAAGGAAAGCTCCAGGCAGGCACACAATTAAAACAATAAATAACACTCTGTTTATTGGTGGGGGTTTAATGTACTGTCTGGATTCAACCAGCAAATCCCTTTTTTCATCTTCCAGCCTCAGATAAGTCCTTGCTCGGTTAGTGTTTTTTTATTATTATTTCCCCTCCCTTGGTAGCTGACTCTGCTTTACTTATTCTGATAATTATGGCAGTTTTAACAAGCAACATGTGCATTTCCCCCCATAAATATGACTTTACTCTGACTGGTAACATTTGTGGCTTTTAATGAGCACCTGCAGGTTTGAAATTTGTGGCACTACTCAATTCATTACCTCAGGGGGAACATCTCTGATGTCTTTCACTTTTCATTTGCCTCTCTGCCAAATGATGCTCTCCTGACAATCCAGAGTAAATAGGCCATTATCTGAAAATTTCTCACTACAAACTGATTTGGAGGTGGACAGCAAAGAGTCAGGACACTTCTTCAGTTTAATTTTTTTTAGACTTTAAAATATTTTCTAGTAGCTTAAAAGTGTTGGTTCTTTTTTTTATTTTTTTTTATTTAGAGTGGAGTATATGTCAGTACATCAGCCTGCAAGGAGGATGATCCCCACAGAGCTCTATGGGATAGTGAAAATTATCTTTTTTTTCTTATGACAATACAGTTGTTCATTAGAGTAAATTCTCTGTGTTAACTTGCTTTGTTCTTAGTGTTCGTTGGCACATCTCTGGGCTCATAAAAATCCAGTGAAATGGAACAGGAAGGAAAGAATAAAATGTCAGAAGCAGTCAAAGCTGTGGCATCAGAGGTCATATGAGAGAATGTAGCTGTGTTGATAAAACTCATACAGTGACACGAGCACCTTTGTGTGCTTCATTATAAGTAGCATTTTTCACACAAGAGGGCGCTCTTGGAATTTTAAAGGAAATACTAAGAAGAAATGAGCTAGGCCTCTTTATTAAAAAGAGTGCACAGTGTCTAGCACTTCTTGAAAGCTGCGATGGGGAACCTAGTCTCCCATTGAATCAGTGCTTGTTTCAGATGTGTAATGCAAGTACATTTTAAAATTGCAACTTTTAACCACTCTACCTTTTAAATAAGAATGGTTGCTTGTCCGCTGTTTGGCTGTAGAAGGCTGTACATACTTGGCTAAGAACTGTAAATGATGGTAGATTATCTGCATGTTCAAGTGTAAAATATGAATGTCGGTTAGAAGTATGGTTTAGTTTCATGTCACTGGAATATGACTGTGTTTAGATGTGTTCTCTTTTAATTCCATCATGTCTGATGCCTAATATTTATAGGATATAAATAGAAACATATAGCAGGATTTACCTTGCCAGATTTGGCAAGATATCAAGCAAGTCACCTTTTGGTCTAAGGTAGTGGCCAGCAGTGAATACTTGGGCTACGTCTACACTGGCATGATTTTGCAAAAATACTTTTAACGGAAGAGTTTTTCCGTTAAAAGTACTTGCGCAAAAGAGCATCTACACCGGCATGGATGCTTTTGTGCAAAAGCATCCGTGCCGGTGTAGACGCTCTCTTGCGCAAGAAAGCTCCAATGGCCATTTTAGCCATCGGGCTTTCTTGCGCAAGAAATTAACGTTGCCTGTCTACACTGGCCTCTTGCGCAAGAATACTTGCTCAAGAGGGCTTATCCCTGAGCGGGAGCATCGGAGTATTTGCGCAAGAAGCACTGATTTCGTACATTAGAACGTCAGTGTTCTTGCACAGATACTCGTGGCCAGTGTAGACAGATGGCAAGATTTTGCGCAAAAGCAACTGCTTTTGCACAAAATCTTGCCAATGTAGACACAGCCTTGGAGTATAACCTGCCCACCATAAGGAATATGTCTTTCTAGTTCTGTCAGTTAGTGGTTCCTGGTGTTCTTAGAATATTTACAGCCTTATAATAACAGCACATGGAACCCAAAGTTCAAATTTGTAAGTCAGTCCTCAAAGATGATGGGATTATAACAATCTTTCCTGTTCTTTGGTCTGTTGTGATTTTTTTTTTTTTTTTTGGAGGCCTTCACCCACCCAGTCATGGTTACTCTACAACACTATAGTAAGAGATAGTCCACCCTGAACAGCTTACAGTCTGCATAGTGGTGAATTTGTGTCATAGGAGATGGTAGAACTGGGACTATCCAAACTCATCTCCTATAGAGGCTACCAAAGTTCCATTAGATCAACTTTTAATCCGTGCAGATCTGGGTAGGATTCAAACCGATAACTGACAGGTGATAGGCTCTACAGCTCATTAATATCTCCCTGAGGTATCTAGTCCCCCATAAGTGCTAATGGTACCCTTTAGAGAATTGAAGCTTGCTTTCTGGACAGATGCACTTATTAAATCAAGTTCTGACCTTTTGGAGCTCACACAGGCAGTTTCTTTTACTTTCTGGAAACAGGCAAAATTTCCCACTGGTTGCTATCGGTCTCAAAATTGATCAGTCTCCCGTATTCTGTTTTTAAAGGGACAGCAGCCATTAACCAAAATACAAACCCAAAAAATGCAACAGTGAAACAAATATTAATACAATATTTGAATTCACTTCTACATACAATGTTTTGCTACATAGTATCTAACAATTACTTTAGTGGCTGTTGTATCAAGCAAAAGCTGGGACTAGAACTCATGATCTCTGGATTTGCGGTTTACTTCCCCATGACTGCAACATTTAGTTAAGGGATTCCCACTTGTTCTTTGTTACTACACCCCCACCTCTTTCACTCCACCCTGCCTCTGCTTGGGCTTTTCATGTTGAGATAATTTGCAATGCAGGCCAAAATTGCCTTGGGATAAAGTTGCAAGATCTGGCAACACATTAAATATAAGATGTTCTCAGTATTAATATAATGGACTAATCCATTTTTTGAAATTTAGATTTTGGCCTCTGATACCTTGTGGCATTGAGTCCCACAGGCTAACTGTGCTGTGTGAAAGGATGTTTGCTTGTTAGCTTTAAATTTTTTGCCTTTCAGGTTTTTTTCTTTAATTACCATTGCATTAGTATAACAAGAGGGTAAATAAACCTCTGTAAACTAACTTGTGTAATCTTTTGAATTTCTCCTTATAGGAATTCTTTCCATGGCTCCAGTCACTTTTATTGCCCATCTCTGGACCCCTTCTATTACTTCTGTAGCTATTTTGAAAGGGGTTGACCAGAATGGAATGCAATATTCAAAGTAAGGGTGTGCCATTGATATCTATAATGGCAGTACAATACTCTCAGAATTATTTGTAAGTCATTCCTCACACTCCCTAATATTTTGTTAGATTTTTTTTTAATTGCTGCTTCACTTTGAGCTGGCCAGTCTGATGCTCAGTTAACAATTAGTTTGGAGCCCAATAATATGTCTGAGTGCTGCAATTTATTCCTTCCTTACTCTTACCTCAACATTAAGGGAATTTTGAGCTGAGGATGTAATTCCCAGCTCTAAGAGACATGTTCATGCTAGGTCTGATCCAGTAAGTGTGTTAAAAAGTGTAGTTTTGGTGGCAGGAGGAGCTAGATACTCTGAGTATATACATAGCATGTTGGATGGGTACATATTCAGGGAAGCTTTCTATGAAATTTAGACATACTTCAGGTTCATCTGCCATCATGTTGTCCATTCACTTAATTTGGATATGTATTATATGTATTTTGGATACATAGGTATTTTTGAAGTTTCTCACAGTCTGCTGAGTTCTTGATTCACCTAAATAATTGTGTTTGCACCCAGATGTTGCTACTTCCCTTGTTACCGGTTGAACACATGTTCCTCTTTACAATCAGCAAAAATTGCAGTTAACACAGGGCAGTGAATCCCTCTCTTGACGCTCATACAGAATCTTTTATCTTTCTTGAATACCGGCCACATCAGGTGTGATCTTATTTAAAAGTATTTTTTCTTTTTCATCCAGGCCCTCTGTTATACCAGTTTTTGCCATCAGTGGCACCAGTTCCTGACATTTCTGCTCTCTAAGCACCTTTTAAATGTTCTGATCTGTGGCCCTGACTGTCACAGCACATGACAAACAATCATAATGTTACATCACATTAAATTAAGTCCCACCTCAATGCCCCGTCTTCCTAGAATATGACCTTCATTTCTGTCCTCACTTGGGAAGAATCTTCCCTAGACAGCTATAGGCCATACTGTGCCACCAGTTGGAAGCAGAACTCCCCATTTATTTCATCACAGGAGGGCTGCTTAAAGTGTGACAGCACAGCATGTGCTAGTGTTTTTCCATAAATCAAATAAAAGGATGTAGTTCACATACTTGCTTGAGTCCATTGTCTAAGCTCCACTTGTCACAATAGGAAATGAGAGTTTCCAGTCTGTTTCCATTTACAAAAACATACCATTTCTTCCTTATTGGTTTCTGATTAAGCTCCAACAAATAACTGCTAATATATATTAGCTTATTTTTTATAGGATGAGAACATTAACTCTGTTTGAGTGCTCCTAATTTTTTTAATCATACTATGTCTTTTCCGGACATTACACTGAAATTATTGGGATTTGTGAAGAGTAAGTAGATATTGATTTCAAGAGAGGAAAAAAAAAGCCTCTATAGACCCTGGTTAGAGAAGAGGATTTTTCCCTTTTCATAGAGAGGTTTAGAGCTACTGGCAAAACATTGGATGAGTGGTGCAAACTGTCTGGCTTTCATTTATAATACTGTCAGTGTATTCATGCCAGCCACTAATGACTACAGAAGAGAAGGCATCTTATGTTGCTAAAAAATCTAAATTATACTCCCGACAGGTTGACACTGATGCTCCAAAGTGCAGGTTTGAAAGATAATTCCTAATCTCAATAGAAAAGGGGTGTCAAATTCAATTTTATTGAGGGACTGATTGCATTTTTCCTTTTAACTCTGGAACACCACAGGAAAAAATATCCACCTGACTTGCTACTGAAGTATTTTCACTTGTTCTGTCTAAACACAAATACATTTAGCATAATGCTGCATGTTCTTTTGCACTCCTCTGGGTCACTGCCCATCCTGACTTGACGCATGATTCAATTTTAGTACAATAAACTTGTTTTATTACTTATATTGTGGTAGTGTCCAGAGGCCTATTGCATTAAGCACCACAAAATCTATAATAATGAGATATAGTCCCTGTCTCAAAGACTTTACAATACAGGGCTCTAATAGGATAACTCATGCGACCTATCCTAGGTGACCTCTCCTAGCTCCTCCAGGACTCTGTATTTTCTAGAGACTTTGATGTTTTATGTCCTCTGTAACATCTGGTTTTAGTTTTAGAATAAGAAAGCCATTCTAGTCCAGATTGAGCCAGACAAGTGGTTTCTTCGCCATTGATGATACAGCCCCTTTTCTCAAAGAGATTTATTTTATTATTGCTTTTGTTTCCTATGGCTTCCCCCTTTTAAAGCCTCCTCTGAGCTAACTCCTAGGAACCAGGCAAGTGAATATCAAACTGATAACATCAGGCCCATATGACATTTATTAAAAATAACATATTTTCCACGCCAGGAATCAGCTAACAAAGCAAAGTCTTTTGTATTAACTGCGTAGAGTCTCAGGAAAATCTCGCCCTACATAGAATAATGTCTGTTGACTTCTGTGTAAATTCTGATATTTCAGCATATTTGAATCCTGAGAACAAACTTCCTGAGTGCATAACATTCTTTAAAACATGAAATCAAATGCTTGTTCTTCATGTTTCTTTTTGGGGGGTGAGGGAATGTGCTAGATGCAAGCATATTATGAAAAACAAACCAAGCAACTCCCTAATCCTAGTGGCAGACTTCCTTTTTTTCAGATAACCCCATTGGTATAGCCATGCACAGGCAAAGACTAGAGTGCTGATGAATTTAGACTGGTGTTAGTCTTGAAGAAATAAATAATATGACATTAAAAACAGTTCCTTATCAAGAGGAATTTGGTGGTGAAAAATAGTTTTATAAGCTTCCCAGTATACACAGTATTTAAGTGGGGTGGACCAAACCATCTAGAGAAAAATTTTTAAAAAACAACAAATAGTTTAGTAGCACTGCTACTAGACTATTTGTTATTTTTTAAGTTTTTCCTGTTACAGACGAACTCTGCTACCCTTCTGAAGCATCTAGATAAAGTGAGCCTAGGTCAGTGTAACTAGATATAATTGTCTGGATTGGTTCACAACAATGAGGTTAATTTTAAAAATAAATACTGATTTAAAAAAAATCGGAATGTCTTTGTTTTCAGACAGTGAACCCAGCCTTTGTATTTAACCAATATATATTTGGATCACTTCTGACTATTAACATGAATGAACCAAATTGTTACCCTATGCAAACATTTACTAAGGCAGTGTGAGATGTGTTCTGTAGTCTGATGAAACTTAAAGTGCCAATTAAAAATGATGAGTTGTTTTATGCCAATAGGCCAGACCCTGCAGTGCTCACTCATGCAAAATTCTAATTGACTCCAATCCAATGGGAGGTCTGCTGGCATATGAACAGTAGGGAACAGGGACAGAAGCACAGCCTCAGAAAACAAGTTCAGAAATCATAGGGGGAAGCATTTGGTGTTCACTGGAATCACCAGAAAATGTGTGCACCCTGTGGGGAGAGGGCTGAAAGGGAATTGGGGACACTCTAGTCTGTCCTCCCTCAAAGGCATGTTGCTGTGGCTCCCTTAAGATCTGTTCTGTCACAAACACCCTGTTCTCTTTACTCCCAGTGGGAAGTTTGACTGACTGGAGTCGAACAAGTAATTGATCCTACAAAGACATATGACCATGCCACCTCGTGCTGGAATCCATCTTGAATTTTGTACTTTTCCACAGAGGTGCGGGGAATTGAACAAAGACCTCCTACCCCAGGGAAATTCTGTATAAGGAATCTGAAGCAAATAATGATTGTCTTCAGCTGGCTTCACAGACTGCTCCCTCCCTGAGAGGATAAATGAAAATACTTGGAAACAAAAGAGCTCCAATGGGAGGGGAGGAGAAGAGCGCTGGTCGCAGGTCAGAAAGAAAAGCTCTTGTCTGATGAGGACTTTACCAGAAATAGGATCTAGGGTGAGAAATTATGATTTGTATCAACTTCTTTTAGTGCATTAGCCTTACACTTAAGGCTTAGCGTGCGGGTCTTGTTTTATATAAGCTTAATAAGTTACTTAGATCTATATTACTTGCAACTACTTAAATCCTACTTTTTATATCAATAAACAAAAGTGTAAATAATTGTTACTGCGGTGGAGGGGAAACAGCTGTGTATCTCTCTCGTTGATAAAGGGAGCAAACTTATGAGCTTGCTCTGTATAAAACTTTTATGCAGTGTAAACAGCTTTATCTGGGTTTTGACCCCATTGGGGCAGTGCACCTGACTGCTGTGTCTAGTCCCTGTGACTGACCTTTCCCAGCACTGAGCTGCTCTCAGTGTCTGCATTGCTCTGTGGTAGGCTGTTACCCAAACTCTGTGCCTTTTCTGGGGGAGACTAGAGGTTCTGACTCAA